TGCGATTTTCTCGTTGCGATTTTCATTTCGCATTGCGATTTTCATTTCGCATTGCGATTTTCTCGTTGCGATAGTCTGTTTTGCCTTCAACATAAAGCAGATTGAAAATCAACAAATCAACTATTACATTTCAACACAAATTATGTATACATCAATTAAACAAATCAACATTTACAAATCATCTTTTACAAATCAATTAAACAAGCAAAAAAAATAATAATTCTTATTTCTTCATCAATTATTGAATCAATGAATCAACAACTTTGTGACCCCGTACATCCATTTCACGCAACTCACTTAAGGATTAACCTGCAGAAACCAAACATTTGCTCAAACAAGACTTCCTACACATCTAAAACCTACAAACAGCAAATTATTGAATTCTAGGTACTTAACCAAACATTTTCAAACCAAAAGGAGTATATATGTTAACAAAACTTGCATTTGACTTACCAATTAACAATGGACACTTTCATAACGCGGATGCAGGTAGGCAGCGTCTCGAATATATTGCTCTAGCCATATAATGCCGAAACCACAAGCCTACTGCAGCTCTATCTCTATCGGTGGGAGGTAAAAACTCTGTGCTTCCCGTCGTCAAACGCGCCAAGCAAAGGCATACGAGAGGACCACAATCCCCTCTGGCTCCCGGCGATTGCTGTGGCGCGGTCTCGTCTCTGACAACTGTGACATTGAACTTCTTTGGCTTCTTGTGTCCAGAATGACTCCAATACTTAATCCCATCCAAGAATTTAGCCAAATGAGAGCTCCATCCCTTGAAAATATCTCTCAAATCAGACAGTGATATGTAATTGATCATGCTGTCATACACTATTATCTTCAGGGATGGGAGCTGAAGTTGAACGAGAAGCCAGTGACGACGTTCCAAAACAGGGATAAACACCTGCGATCATAAGTAATAATTCATTTATTTGCGCACTTATTTATGAACACCTTTAAAAAATTTAAAAAATAAACACTAACCTTATCGACCTCCCACCATACAGGATAAGGTTTAGCTTGTCCATTGCCCAACAAAAATGATTCATCTCGTTGATTCTTCAAGTGAACTGCGTGAAAAGCCGTCGGCATTATTGTATATAGCGAATTTTTTTTATTTTTCCTAAGATTCCTTATTATTAGTAGACGTGACACCCACGCATCGATATGCTGTTTTACAAAAAAATACATATATTAGTGAATTACATTAATTTTTAAACAAATTAATCAAAATCATATATAATACAAATATAAGACTTACATCCCCAACCAAATAGCCACTGTCTTCAACCCCTAATAGCACACCCCACCAAGACCGATCAAGCAACAAAAACATTTCATCGTTGAGTTTGCTGATGTCAGTGTAACACCCTTGGCTCCGCTTATGTAGATAAAAATCAACTGCGGTCTTAGCCCAAAGGGTATTATCCACAATTGTTTCCGGTAGTTGTCTCCTCTCCACTTCAGATACCGGAAGGGTACTAGCCGGTAACTCATACGAGAGCCAACTCTCATCCATCATGTCCGGAACCGGTGGGGGTTTCTCAATACTTCGATATATTACCCCATGTGAATCGGGCTCTGGAATGGTGGGAGTGACCTCTTCAACGATGACAGTGGCCTCTTGAACGGTGGGGGGGGGGAATCTTGAGGGAGAATAGGGGCCTCTTGAACGATTGGAGGGGACTCTTGAGGGATGATCGGTGAGTCGGGCTTCTTCTTGCGAAGTCTTCGCACCATTGGGGTGAACGGAGACGTAATAGCACGTCCACTCCGTCTGATGCGTGAACTCCGTCGTGCAAGGAAAACCCGACGTAAAGCATCCACCTTATCGGGCCGCTAAAAAAAATTAATACATAAATCAGTAAATAAACAGACATGATATTAAACAAAGACAAATATGTTTCAAACTAGCATTGTATTCACCCAAATTATTATTCTATCATAGTTCACAAAATGCTCAGATAACATTCCAGAAGTAAGCACTTATATAAACATTTAAAAGGACAACATATATAAACATTCCAGAAGAAGAATAGTTTACTTTCGCAACACGAAACTTAAAATCGCAACGCGAAATGACTATCGCAATGCGGAAATGGCTATCGCAACGCGAAATGAAAATCGCAATGCGATTTGTGTTTCGCGTTGCGATTTTGTCGTTGCGATTTCATTTCGCGTTGCGATTTTGTCGTTGCGATTTTCATTTCGCATTGCGATAGCCATTTCCGCGTTGCGATAGTCATTTTCGTGTTGCGAAAGTAAACTATTCTTCTTCTGCAAATTGAAACTTGAATGGATTGCATTACTTCAACCAAAAGACAAAAACAAAACCAAAAACAAATACTAACAAAACAGTTTAGCAGTATTGGCAGCAACCGAATGAATTACGAGTATGAAAAATCTTAAACTTACCTCGTTGCGTAGAGTATGAACCTCATTCTGCAACGATACTACCATCTCACGTAGAGCGGCTACCTCACCGCGTAATGTAAACACCTCAACACGCCATGCACCATCGTCTTTGCGTAAAGTACCGACCTCCTCACGCAAGGCATTGACCTCATCACGTAACTCCCCTAACTCATCCCGTTGAGGTGGAGGTGGAGAACAGGGAGATAAACGTCGTGGCATCTTTGCCGGTCGCCTATCTTGCGGTGATGGTGGAGAAGAGGCTCGATGATGTGACATAATAGGTGATGGCTGTCGTTGTGGAGGTGTATAGCCGGGTCGATCAGATGATGGCTCTGGGTGAGGTGATAGCTCTGGGCGAGGTGATGGCTCCCGAAGTGGAGGCTGCTCATCAACCGTTCCATCAAAAAAACGCTTACTAGCTTGCCACCAATCAGTGGCAAGCTCAGCTTCCGTGGGTGTCAGCCTCTGTAGATGAGTGTTGGCCTCCTAACAATATAAAAGCTCAAACAAAGTTAAACGTGTACTAGTAATAACTTGTTTATAAACATATGGTAGTATTTATGTTAACTTACATTATTTATTGTCGTATACAGTAGTAAATCTTCCCATTGCAAGGTCCGTTTCCTCTTTCAGGAAATAGCCCTGGGAATATCATTTGAAGTTTTTATTGCATATGTCTTCATGGCGGGAAAGGCCTCAAATATCCAAATCTACAAACAATATAATAACAAACATTAGTAATTGTTAAATAATTACTTATAATTTTGGAAACATCATATAAAAATTCTTACCTTAAAGGCCCAAATAAAGTCTGTCAAAGTGTATTTGGAACCATCGCCATGCAAACTTTTTCGATCATCCAAGGCAGAAGATAACTTATTCCATGTAGCTTTCCATAAATACGAGCCCCACGGAAATAGGTTCCACGCATTTAGGTCTTCTACCAATTTGATTAGATCATTTGGAATAGGTTGTCTGGCCTCTCTGCCTAAAAAGCCGGCATGCAAAAGAATTAGAAGGCATACTCGGACAACGTCGACGTCATCCATCCGAGTAAAACCATCTTTATTATTCAAAAATCTTGTCAGGTCTTCTACGTGTAGACTCGGCCTCTCCAGCTCAGGAAAAACCCGGGATAGCCATGATGGGCGGGTAATGTGTCTAGTGTACCGACCTACATCATCGTGTTCGAAGCGTAGACCGGTGATTAAGCAAAACTCCTCCCGCCCAAAACACGTATACGCCGGTGGAAAATCAAACCATATCTCTTCATCACGACGTTGTATAGTCTCTGGTAGATCGCTAGTCATGGTTTGAAGAAACAGGTGTGTCAACATCGCATCTCCACCGGGATGTTGTACTTTCAGCCATGGCCCGAAGCATGTATCCTCAAACATTTTTCTTTGTGCAGGTGAAAGCTTCGACGCAATTGTTTTGGCCAGGCTGACTTTATTTCTCAAGGTCAATTGAGCCGAATAAAAGTTCTACAAAAACAATAAACATACTAAATTAGATATACCAAAAACTACACTGTGAAGATATACCAAAAACAATAATAAACATAAAATAGTAGTAGTTTATTCTTCAAACTTAAATATGCAACACTGTGAATTTCGTATTTGTCTTTGTTTTTTGGTTGAAGTAATGCAATTCATTCAAGTTTCAATTTGCAGAAGAAGAATAGTTTCTGAAAATGAAAATCGCAACACGAAAATGACTATCGCAACGCGAAACTAAAATCGCGTTGCGATTTGCATTTCGCGTTGCGATTATTGGTTGATTTAATAAGCAATCTAAGTGAAATGGTTAATCTATTATTGAAATTACCAGTAAACTTATCATCAATTTCAATATGAAAAACCTAATAATAATGCAAAAATTTCAAAAAGAAAATAATTAAAAAAACTAACCCTCGTTGGTTGATTTGGTTGATTTTCCATTTCTGATTGTGAGGGTGGCTCTGAGAGATGGAGATAGACGGATTTCGCCGGAGATGGGGACGGATTTCGTCGGAGATGGGTGAGAGAGTGAGAGATGGAGATGGGACTGAGTTGTGATTTTAGGTTTTAGGTTATGAGTTGCGATTACGGGATATACTGTGGACAGTTCAGTGTTCCAATATATTAATATTCATGTTTGGAATTTAAAAATAAAATACTTGGCCAGGATACTAATGGCGCTTTGAAAATCGCATTGCGATTATGTATTATCGCGTTGCGAAAGTAAGTATCTCGTTGCGATTTTTTATTATCGCATTGCGATAGTCAGTATCGCATTGCGATTTTCCCAATTCGCGTTGCGATTTACTTATTCGCATTGCGATTTTCCCAATTCGCGTTGCGATTTACTTATTCGCATTGCGAATTGGGAAAATCGCAACGATACTGTAGACCATCGCAACGCGATTTTCAACTATCGCATTGCGAAAATGCAACGCGAATTTGCGATAATGGAGATCGCGTTGCGAATTAGCGATCGCATTGCGATTTTGTTGGTCATTTTGGCAAATCCGGAAAATATTGGTTAAAATCATATATTATATAAGATTTTTGGTCACTGAGGTTATTTTCTCTTTAATTTATTACAGACAGCACCCAGGAACCTTCGAGCAACACGTCTTTCATATCATCACCCCTCATGCATACTGGCAATTTCCATAGCCTGCAAGAACAAACAATTATGAACAACGTCAAACAGCAAAATTTAAAAACAAAACATGTTTTCTTTTTTTACAGGATTAGGGTTTAACGAGCGATTTACTTGGATCGGATACAGTGATGAGACCGGAGTTAGTGAAGTGACATGCATGTTCCTGACCACCATTGTCTTGGTAATAAGAATTCATGACGACGGAGGCATGGTTGATGAGAGTTTCGGGATCGTAGCATGCTCCACCTGAGTGGAAGGACATATGTATGATTTTATGTTATATAGAAAGAGATTATCGATAGAAAATGTAAAGAAAATATTTAAATTATACGAGAACTTAAAATTTTTAAAGTTCCGATTGCAGTCCTCCTTCATTCATCCCTGCTGACCTGGCTGTATTTGGTTGCAGTTTAGTCCCCGGGTTCCAAGATAATTACAGGCTGAGTCTATGTTGGAAGCCAGTGCTGCATCGTCGGTGGATGGCTTTGCAACACAGCATGTTTTGCTCTGTTAACATGAAAAATTCGTGAGAAAATCTGGGATTTTTAGGGGGTTAAAAAGGGAAAACATTGATTTTTCACCTGCCCATTGGCCAACTTCAGCAAGATCCCTGCATAAATAAATTTCGGGGAAGCAATTTCGCCATTGCACTAACATATAGTTTACAATTCTTGAAGGGACCTAACCACAATTTTACCATTCATGGTTCAATATCAAACCCAAAAGCAAAAGGAAAAAGAAGAAAGGTAAGTACCAGAGTCAAATGACAACAGGAGCAGAAGATAGAAGAAAACTTGGGGATAGAGAGTTGATTTAGCCATTGTTTTCTGTGTAGGAATAAAGTAATTAATTAAAAATTTAAAGAAATATGACTGGGGTAAAAGGAAATGAACACGGTTCAGTATATATAGGGTGGATAATGATAACTCCAGACTGTATATTGCTGCTTCCTCGGGTATTTTTCTCATAGGTGAGATACTAAAACATTCCTGGCACTAGCAAAAATCTTCCAGAGTTTGGTAATGGTTTTAACGTATAAAAGAGTATTAAATGGACATTTTGACACATATCAACATTGTGGACTTTAAGCCTTTTGTAAATGGTTTATAAATTTATCGGTCTATTTTAAGTAATGATAGTTGAAAATATGTTTTCATCTTATAATTAATTTTAAGGTAGTTGCTGGTCATTGTCATTAGGTTAAAATTTTGAATTCATTGAGCAGTCTCAATGTAGAAAGAAGTGATAGTTAGGTGACCAAACTGAAGTTAAAGTGATAGTTGAGGATTAGATATGTACTTTACTCAAGAATTTAATGTGACATGTAACTTCCCATTCCAAATAAAACACTAAATGATTTATTGATAATGGACAGATTCTTTTGACATATTGATAGTGATATACACCATGGAACAAGATGTACCATAACTAGAAAACTTAAAAAGAAAAAAGAACAAGGAAAAAAATCCCATAGCTTTCACACTACCAAATTCCAATTGTTGCTTTCTATATACGGATGAGAACAGGAGAGAGCAAGCTGTTCTCAACAAGACATAAAGCTATCGTTGATACCACACACACCACCAAGGGAAAACTACTTTGTCAATAAATTAAGTTCGAAGCTTCATGCTTTGAAGTTGCTGATAAATATAAGAGGATTTTAAGTCATGGATTTGATCAGATCTATATCAATACGATAATCAAAGATAATTTTGGGTATTAAATTTTTATTCAAAATATGATAACCAATAGAGTTTAGTTAAATTCAGGATTTGTCTTTGATGGTTGGAAATCATCATATTCGACCACGAGTTTCTCAAATCTCACGTTGTTTAGATATGTGTTTTTAAATGTTTAAATATAGACTTTTAAACATATATTCATTATGTGATTTAAGATAAAGATTATACATGTGTGTTGCTATTGCTTGACTTGTGCTCATGTCAACATGAATCTTCAATATGTATAATTTGTGTTTCTTTTCTTTTTAGAAAAAACTCGCATATTTTTTTATATTTTTTACCTTTCTTCAATTTTTGTCGAATCTTCTCACAATGGTAACGTCACGTGTGCAAAGACACTTTTGATAAAAAGAATCTTCGAAGGCGTGCCGAAAGTGGAATGTCTACACCTATGTGACACGAAAGGATACCAATATGTCTTTGTCTATGTGACACAAAAGATATCAAACTAAGAAATAAATTGAAAAGAGTATTATGTTGGGTATTAATTTTTCCCAATAATATTTGGATTAATAAATCCTTGTTAAATTTCATCTTCCTTTTTCTAAAAGAATATTGGCCTTATTAAAAACCTCTTCTAAGACCTATAAGTGGAAAATAGTGTTCTAGGACCTTGTATTTCCAGAAGAAAAATCATTAGATACAATAGACGTAATAATCTCGGGACAAACTGAGTCAAAATACAAGGCATTTACGAAACGAAGAGTCCACTTAGTCAAAGTATATGCCATAATATTACAAGCTCTAGAAACAAAACCCACTTTGTAATTTAAATTAGCATTCAAAATCCTACGAGCTTCTCGAATATGATAATCCAACGTGGATAAATCCTTTTTCGATCGAGACATTTTGTTGATTACAAGCATTGAATCCGATTCAAATATTACATGCGTCCACTGATACTCGCTTACTAAAGAAAGTGTTGTATTCAGAGCATGAATCTCTGAAAAGTCCAGCTTCAACACAATCTGGCCATACCGTCAAGTACCTGGCCAACAGCATCTCGGGCCAATTTTTTATTGTATATTGTTAAATTCCATCTTGATTAGTAAACACCAATTTTAATTTATAATTTTATCCTATTTTGTATATTATAAAAATTAAATTATGGTTTATTATTTGATATTCATAACATGTGAATCTTATTTTACATAATTTATTTATTTTAATCTTAAACTTTAAAATTTTAATATTAGACCCTAAAATCTTAAACCATAAAAATGTAAACACTAAACCTTAAATGAGACAGGTTTCAAATAGTTAGACTATATAAAATAAAGTATAGTTTTTTTAATTGAGTATCGAATTTGCTTTATTAAAACATTAAAGTTTATTATGATTTCTCAAAACCAAATAAGATTGTTAATGATAATTAACTTTTAATTTTTTGTCAGATATAAATAAATATCAACTAAATAAATGCATGTCCACCGTGGATACGATGTCGTTTGATAAATCTCCCAACACTTTCTAAGGTATCATGTGACCCGTTCGTTGGCATCAAGTGAAAGAAGAAAGGAAAAGGTTATTATGTTAAGGCTATCTATATCTGAGTTTCTATTGGTTCATAACATTATGGGACATTCGATTTCGAATGTCAACTCGTCACCTTCAACACCACGTATCAGCATCGGATACTTTTGGATGTAATGATCGTTTAAAAAATCTCCAGCAATCTGTAGTGTTGTTTGTCAACCAATGAGATGATGCCACTTGTGATCGTTTCGGATAACCCACCATATCTGCTTGCGAGTTGGAACACAGCTGTTTCGTTGCATGGGTCTAGAATTCTTGTACTAGGAAGATGTAATAACATTAAGAATCTCAGACGTGTAACAATGGTGGACTGTTAAATGGAATTTGTGGTTTCCATGGTGCCAAGTGGACATGCAAGAACAGCACCAGAGATCTTGAAGCTCCAATGAGATGAAAGATAGAGATCACAACGAAGATAAGGAACCTTACTCGGAGCTCTCTATATAAACCTCAGTTTATTTTCCCGTTTCAATCACTACCAAACTCCCACCGCCGGAAAATCAATCTCCTTCACAATGTCCACCGCAGCAATGGCTCTTTCTTCCCCTTCATTCGCCGGCAAGGCGGTGAAGTTCTCCCCTTCCACCCCAGACATCCAGGGAGGTGGCCGTGTTTCCATGAGGAAAACCGCTAAGCCTGCCCCGTCCGGTAGCCCATGGTACGGTCCGGACAGAGTTTTGTACTTGGGCCCACTATCCGGTGAGCCACCATCTTACTTGACTGGAGAATTTCCCGGAGACTATGGTTGGGACACCGCCGGACTCTCAGCTGATCCAGAAACCTTTGCCAAGAACCGTGAGCTCGAAGTCATCCACTGCCGATGGGCCATGTTGGGTGCTCTCGGGTGCGTTTTCCCCGAGCTCTTGGCTCGCAACGGAGTCAAGTTCGGCGAAGCGGTCTGGTTCAAGGCCGGTTCACAAATCTTCAGCGAAGGTGGGCTTGATTACTTGGGTAACCCGAGCTTGATCCACGCTCAAAGCATACTGGCCATCTGGGCTTGCCAAGTTATCTTGATGGGTGCCGTCGAGGGCTACCGTATTGCCGGTGGACCACTCGGTGAGATGACCGACCCGTTGTACCCGGGAGGTAGCTTTGACCCGTTGGGTCTTGCTGATGACCCAGAAGCATTCGCTGAGCTTAAGGTTAAGGAGATCAAGAACGGTCGGTTGGCTATGTTCTCGATGTTCGGATTCTTCGTTCAGGCCATCGTGACCGGAAAGGGTCCGTTGGAGAACTTGGCCGACCACCTTGCTGACCCGGTTAACAACAATGCCTGGGCCTACGCCACCAACTTTGTACCCGGAAAGTGAACTCAAAGAGAGTGAAATGGATTTGTATTTTTACTATAATTTTTCTTTGTTGGTGATGTAAATTTGTTGCAAATCAATGGAAGCATAATGTGAATTTTGTGTGCCATTTTATTTTGTATTGCGTTGATAAAACTGTTGGAATTTTTCCCACCAAAGAAAAGATGAAGTTAAACGCATAAAAGTTTTTACATATAGGAAAAATAGAGTAAGCCCTTTTTCTTGTAAATTTTGCTTGCAGGTGACTGCGATTAGATGGTCATCCATTTTTTTTATGTTGAGAGCATTACATGTGTAAAAAAGTTCTCTTTAAGTGGTCTGTTGCTTTACAAGTTACAGATTGCAGAACAGTTCTTTGTCCAATGGCCACAACTGCAGAGAAAATACCCTCGAGTGAATCGAGACTGCTGCTGATGGGTACTCCTTCGTGCTTAACCTTATAGGTTTTCGTTTCTTCTTTTTCAGACTTAAATGTTGTATTTCTTTTCACTTCCCCTAATCAGTATTTAGTATTCCCTGGTTGGGTTTTGTTGGATTCATCACTGCAACATGATCTAACAAAGACCATAGTATTTGGCCAAAAAGGAAGCGATAGAATGTAATATGATTGTATTGAATTTTTGATACACGAGGCCATTAATAGTAGATGTTTGTAACATGCGATGTTCCTCGAGTTTAGTAGTATGAGGAAAGTGTGAGTAAAACTTGATCAATTTATAAAAAGGGATGGCTATTTAACTTGAAATCGATGGGTTTCGATCCGATATGATATGGTTGGATTTTTTTAAAGAATTTCGGGTTCGGGTTGATGTTTTTAAGGAATTGAGATTGGTCGGGTGAAAATACTCTGACTCAAGGATAAAAATGTGGTTTTTTAAAAAAAAAAAATTAATTAAGTCCTTATTTCATAACATGTCGTGTCGAATTTATACTTTAAAATGTCGGGTTGGGTCTGAATTGGATGGAAAATATATATTTTTTGGGTTGGGTCAAGTTGAGTGAAATGTATATAATTTTTAGGTCGGATCGAGGTCGACTGGAGGATACATATATTTCGAGTTGGGTCGAGTTGACAAAAAATTAATCCAACCCGACTCGTCGCCATCCCTATTTATAAAGGTTAAGCTTTTTATTTGTTTTGATGTTAAAAATTAATTTGATTTCATTCGTAATTTTATAAATTCAACTTAATTTAAAAAAATCAAATAAAGTTTGATTAACTCAAATCTCAAAATAAAATAAAATATGAGTTATAAAATAAAATTCGTCAATTTGATTAACTTAATTTTTTATTTATCTCGACTCAGTTAAATATTCACTCCTAATATAATCTTTTAATAGTGTAGGATGGTTATAAGATAATATATTTTTAAAATCTTTCTTAACGACCGACAAAGCACACATTAAAAAAATTTGAACCGCTCAAACTTAATATATAGTATAACTATTATCCATTCAATAAATGTACCTTTTTCATAAGTCATTTTGTTAATCAATGGTAAATAATGTCATCATGGCATGGATAAGTCATAGTTTTTGTGTTAACCTCCAAAATTCAAGGTTTAAATTATGATAACGATATTCTCTTGTATTCATAATCGTTCCAAGAGGATATCTTGGAGTTTTAGGTGGCGTTTGGTTGGTATGAATATCTTGGAATTAGGTGGAATTGGAATATAATTCCACCACTTTCTCATGTTTGGTTTAAGTTTTCCGAGGGAATTAGAATTCCTCATGGCAACTTTCCATTAAATGAGGGAATGTGAATTACATTCATTATATGATATAATTCAATTCCCTTGTTGGAGGGAATTGAAATTTGACCATACTACCCTCATCAATCTTTTTGGTAACTTATTCATATATTGAATAAAAATATATTTTATTATTTCGGGTCGGTTCGGTTCGGATTTCTAATTCATATATTCGGGTCGAGTCGGGTGAAACTTTATTTTGGTCGGGTCGGGTCGTTTTTTTAAGTGTGATATTCGGGTCGGGTCGAGTTCAAGTTTAGGGTGAAAAATACCCGACCCGAACATATATATAATTTTACCTTATATATTTAGGAATAATTACAATAATACTCCTCTATATATAGTTTTTTTCAATTAAGTCATTGTTTTATTGAATAAAAATAATTTTTTTTATTATTTCGGGTCAGGTCAGATTTCTAATTCATATATTCGGGTCGGGTGAAACTTTATTTTGGTCTGGTCGGGTCGGTTTTTTTTAAGTGTGATATTCGGGTTGGGTCGGGTTCGGGTTTAGGGTGAAAAATACCCAACCCGATCCGACCCAAAAAATATATAATTTTACCTTATATATTTAGGAATAATTATAATAATATCCCTCTATATATATATTTTTCCCAATTAAGTCACTATTTTTATTGAATAAAAATAATTTTTTTTATTATTTCGGGTCGGGTCGGGTTTCTTATTCATATATTCGGGTCGGTCGGGTGAAACTTTATTTTGGTCGGGTCGGATCTCGGTTGGAGGTTCCCTTGTTCCCGGGTTGGGTCGGGTGGACCAAAAACCCGACCCAACCTGACCCATGACCATCCCTAATTGGGATGATTTTAACTTATGAGTTTTATTAGCATAATTTTTATAATTTATTGAAATGAATAATCAATCAATAAAATTAAAATTTAATTTTTTTTAAATTTTTATAATATATTGCTACAGGTAATTTATAAAACAAACTAAAATTAAGCAAAAAAAAAAAAGGACAATCATGTCATTTTACATTACTGAAATCAAATTCATCTGACATGTCTGCGAACCAAACAGAATATGGAATTAGATTCCAATTCAATTTACTGCCAATCAAACAGAATATAGAATTGGATTCCAATTCCTGACAGATTTCAATTCATTCACAAATTCTAATTCTCTCATAAATATTACAGCGAACCAAACGCCACCTTATTCTCAGTTACAGAATTTAAAAGCTACAACTCTAATTTCCATGCCAACCATTAACCTTTCAATCAACAGCTTGCTAGTGGTAACAAAAACACACACACACATGCAGAAAATTAAACATAGTTACCGCTGATGGAAATTGGACGCCATGGAAATAAGCTACTAAGCTATATTATATGCAGGTAAGCAATCTTCATCAGCAATCTCACTGGTTATCCGGTTTTGGATCTTCGATTTTTTATGATCGATATAGTGTTGATAAATATACGAGACGAAGCCCCAAATGGCCAACACCATCGACATCCCTTTGATCTCATCCATTTTATCGTGGAAGACGAAGACTGCAAGCACCGGCACAATCGGCAAACCGACGGTGCTGACGGAAATACTGTACAGGGACGACACTTCGAAGACTAATCTCACGGTTCCGATGGTGAAAACTTGCCATCCTATGGCAGTCCAAAACAAAATCATCACGTATGAAACTTTCCCCAGTGCATATTCCTCCATTTCTTTCTTTAACCCTTTATATTCGCCGCTGGCGAGCAATCCCACAACGATGGCGAGTGGCGATCGATGCCACCAGCGACTAATATATTAGGACGTCGAACACGACTTTCAACGTTTGTTTCTTTAATACTTTTCGGAGCGCGAGCTGCTGGGACGCTAGCATCAAGCCGTACACGGCTGCACCACCGACGGTGCATATGAAACCGGCGGCGTAATCACCTTTCGAGACGCCGGCAGGCTTCTCGGTGTGATTGTTTACGACTAATAGAACCGAAGAAATGGTGAGGAGGACTAGAGAGTTGACGATGGAGGCAAAGAATTTCTGGGAATTTAGGAAATAAGAGAATAAAGCATTGAAAGCTAATTGTGAAGCTGTGATAAGCGTCACCGTCGACACGGGGAGATATTGTAAGCCGACTGAGAAAAGAAAACCGCTGCCGGCAACAAGTAGTCCGAGCGACATATAAACCTTCACGAACGCCGTCACACACTGCGGCGAGTTAAAAACAAGAATAAATTCAAAACAATTATTGAATTCCATTGCTTTTTCAGTGCAAATGCACATGACTTATATAGCAGATATATAACATCCTGAATCAGGGTCAGTGACTAAATTGTAAATTTTGAAAACTATATGCTCAGTTTCGAAACAAGTTAAAAGTTCAAGGATTTAAATAGAAAAAATTTTTAGTGTTAGATTAAATGGTAATTTTTGGAAAGTTTGAAGGGTATAATGGTAATTCCATAAGAAAGATTTTTATTTCTCTTTTATATAGGAGATGGCACGTGGAAAGGGATGAAAAAAATAGAAAAGTCTGGAGGCTTTGGTTCAACCTTCTTCTTATTCTCTTCCCGTAAGCTCCATGGCAAAGGTAAGTATAATTTCAGCTGTTTAATTATTGGATTTATAAGTTGGTTTTGATTCTTTGGGTGTTATATAAACTTAAGGAAAGCTTATATAAACTTTAAACATCACAAATAGTGAATTAAAGAGGAAATTATATGAAGGGTGTAGAAATGAATTGTTAGAACAAAGATGTTTTTGAAGTTTTAATTATGAATTTGACTTGCCGTCTATAAGAATAAGAAGCTATAAGTGTTAGAATTAAGTTTGGGTAACATGAAAAATTTGGTATGATTATTGATTTCTAAATGGAGAATAGAATTTTGAGGTTTAAGATGAAATAAATGGGTATAAATTAGTTTAAGTATGTATATATGAGTTAAGAGTATGAAAGGGGTTAAAATATGAAGAATTGAAGTTGGAATAGTGAATTTTCGTAGTTGAAAATGATTTCTGGGCTAGGGGGAATCGATACCCATTCAAAGGGGTACTAATACCCTCTCAAACGAGCAGAATTCCATAATGTCATGAGGGTATCGATACCCCCAGTAGGGTATCAATACCCCCTAAAGGAAAATTGAAAATATGGGTTTAATAAGTTCGTTTAAGTTGATAGTATCCAACTACAAGGTGTAGGTATCTAATAATTGCCTTAAAATGTACATTTATGTAGATTCTGAGCATAAGGCAATTCCGGAACATTTGGAAAGTAAGATCGATCAGGGGAAAGATTAGAGATCGAGATTGACTAGTGAGGCCAGGTGAGTGCATATTCAATAGTATATGATGTGTGACGGGAATAAGACTTGCGATGAGTCTATTTCCTGAAGTGTTACATATGAATTCATGATTAAAGGCATGAGTTGAAAATGAGTGTATGTATGCTTGATTATCTGAATTGATATGTTTTGTATGTGCCATGTGGTTTATGTAAAAACACGATTAAGTGTTAATGAGAGAATATAAAATAAGTTATGAAATTATAGGAATATAGAAGATAAGTCAAGAGATGTAGGGAAATGGAAATAGATGTTTATAAAGAGTCATAGGAGAACAAATATAAGTTATATGATAATGAAATATAAGACTATGTGAATACATGGTTATGAGATAAAATATGTAATAATAAGAAAATATGATGAAAGTGAGTTCATGAGAAGTGATATGAACTAGGTAAACATGGGTAATAGTATATGCATAATGGAAACATGAGTTGGACAAGTACATAGTGGTATGATTTATTATGAGAATTAGTATAATAGAGTTTTTTGATTTAATGAGAGTTAAGGGAACTAAATAAGATTGAATTATAGAATAAAATGGAAATAGTATATCAATTAGGAAACTTGAATATAAAGGGACGATACGAATATGCAAGATAAGTTATATGCTAAATATCTATGGAGCTATATGAAAAGATTATAATGAATATATGAAATTGAATTAAGTAAAGAGATTAAATTAGTACCTAAATAAAAATACTATTAAATGATATATGTTTAGAAATACGACATAATTTATACAATCTAAGGGAATACAAAGAAATGGAGCATAAGGTAGATGATATGATATCAATTATTATATACCTATATGATATATGTCATCGGGTAATATGAAATGACTCTGAAAATTGATATAAGCTATGAGAAAGTGTTCTAGGTGTTTCTATGTGTTATATGAAGCATATATGATCATATGTGAACAAGATATGATATGTATGTTTATATGAATACCTGAGAAATGATCTAAGATATATGATATGATATATGTGATTATATGCACTTTGGGATATATGTTATATGACATGGATCTATGTGACTACGTGAGAAAGTATATAAGCTATGTGACATGTAAATGTGAATCATATGAAAATGTTCTATGTGTAATTGAACTATGTGTATATATGAATATGTGAAATGACAATGTCCATGTTATGTGTCTTGAGAGCTAGAGGTATAGTTGGCATGCCAAGAGTCGAGGGTCTACGCGGTCCTTCGGGACATATATGTATTCCTTGGAACATGTGTGATGTCTTTTGAGACACATGCTTGATCCTTTATATATATATATATGATTCTTAAGGAATTTCTAAGTGGTCATTCGGGACAAATTCTACGCGGTCCTTCGGGGACAAATTTCTACGCGGCACTTCGGTGCAAAATTCTACGTGGCACTACAGTGTAATTTATACGAGCTGTGGTGACAGCATTAGTGCATAACCTCTATAGACTCACATATCCATAGTTCTTACATGTGTACATGGTTTAATAAAGAAATAACAACCAACATATTACATGTGACTTGTATGCTTTTGTGCTATGAATGATAGTATATATAATTTATATGATGAGATGTTGATGGTATGATTAAATGAGTCAAATGTTAGTTAAAATACTAGGTATAAGAGGATATGTATTAAGTGATATAACCGATAATAATATTGATAATGAAATAAGGCTAAAGATGTAAATGATGAGTGATGAATATATGTGTGTGTATATATGTTCTTACATGTAATGATGTATTGCATAGGTGTTATAGGGATTTGTTACATGAATAAGGGTATGAGTGATAGCAGTAAGTGTTCATGCATGATTACAAGCTATAGTTTATATTACATGTTTATTTGCCTCACTAAGTCATAGACTTAGCGTGTGATTGTTTCACACGTAGGTTGCAGAAGTAAGAAGAGTAAAGAGCAAAGTGGAGCAAGACAGGTCAGTTACTTCTTACCGAAGATCAGATCAGAAAAGATGTCTTGAATTAGATGTATTTTGTATATTGAAAATAGTTGGCATGTAATTAATGTTTTGAATTATATATACTCTGATCGGTTTTGCAAAAACATTTAAGCTCTGAATAGTTCTGGAAATCTTTTGAATAAGTTACATGTATAAAAGTTTTAAATTACTCACTATTTTATACAAGTAAATGTTTTGAAAAGTCATTGTGATACCTCGGACTCAGATCCAGGTCGGGTACGGGTTAGGGGTGTTACAAGATAGGTTGTTGAACTAAGAAGCAACCTTCATAACAAACTTTGACAAATGAATCCGTGTAACAATATCCTAACAGCCTAAGGCTCTGATTGTCTGCAACACACCATACATCAGCAACAATGAGCTTAACTTCAAGCTTCTTGAATCTTCTCCATGCATACTATGCAGTATGTTACGCACATTAGCCTGCAGCTCGATCATTCTTCCAACATTCCTCCTGCTTCTTCTTATTCTCCTCCCTTTTTAAGACAAACATTCACTTGCTCTCGAAACGCTGTAAAAGCTATTTTTGATAAAGGCTTTGTGAACTCATTCGCAAGTTGATGTGCAGTAGGAACATAGCTAACATATAATTTGTTTCCTGCAATTTTTTCCATGACAAAATACACATCTAAATCGATATGTTTAGATTGTGCATATAGGACTGGATTTGCACTAAGCGATATGGCACTCGTATTATCACACCAAACGATTGGTTTTTTCTGCTGTATTACTCCAATATCATTCAACAATGCATCTATCCAAGTAACCTTTGTAACTGCATCTGCAAGACTACGATATTCAACTTCCATGGTGGATCTGGAGACAACTTTCTGTTTCTTTGTGCTCCATGACACCAAGTTACCACCTAGCAAAACACAATGACCTGACATCGACCTTCGATCATCTATACAACCTCCCCAATCAGCATCCGAGAATGCAACAATTCTTAGATCTTCATTTGATGGATTGAAGAGCATACCATACTCAATTGTGCCAGCTAGGTATCTTAGAATACGTTTGGCAGCCTGCAGATGACTCTCATGTGGTTCATGCATAAATTGAGCAACCTTGCTTACGCTATACACTATGTTCGGTCTTGTGTGACATGCAAAGAGCAATGCACCAACCATACTTCGAAACTCTCGAGCATCTTCAATCATTTTTCCAGCATCTCTTTGAAGTTTATTGGATATAACCATAGGAGTATTGGTAGGGGTTGCCCTTGTTATACATGTCTTCTCTAGTAAATCGAAAATAAACTTCTTTTGAGATAATATAAGGCCACTAGTACTGCGTTGGACTTCAATTACCAAAAAAATAATTTAACTCGCCAAGATCCTTCAACGAGAAATTAAGTTTGAGTGACATAACCACTCGTTCAATTGCAGTAACTGACTGACCAGTGATCACAATATCATCGACATAGACAATTATATATATAACTTTCCCTTGAGCAAGTGAAATGAACAAATATGCATCTGCTCTTGACACTTAAAATCGCATCTGTAGCAGGCTATCTTTCAGTTTGTTGTTCCAGTTCCTGGGAGCTTGACGCAACCTATAAAAAGACTTATGAAGCTTACATACAAGCTTGGTGCCATCCTCAGCCAGCTGCTCAAATCCAGGCGGTTGTTGCATGAAGACTTCCTCATTCAAATCACCATGGAGAAAGGCGTTATTAACATCCACATGTCGTAGTGGCCACTTGTTTGTTACAGCTATGGATAGAATAACATTTAAGGTTAGAAATTTGACCACAGGACTAAAAGTTTCCTTAAAGTCCTGTCCTGGTACTTGCATAAATCCTTTTGCCACTAACCTGGCTTTGTAACGTTGAATTGAGCCATCGGGATTTTTTTCCAGTTTAAATAGCCGTTTACAACCAACTGATGTTCGTCTAATTGGTAATGGAACCAATGTCCAAGTTCTATTCCGTTGTAAAGCAGTAAGTTCATCATGCACAATAGAGGTCCATTGACTCGACTTCAAAGCCTGATGAATATCAGTAGGTATAACAGTATATTCCATAGCAAGGAACATCTTAGGCTTGAAAATTCCATGCTTGCTTCTAGTAACCATAGGATGAGTGTTAGTTAGTGGTACCTGATCAGGAACATTCGCATCCTCGACTGAATTTTGAACAGACTCATTTACTTCTTCAGTATTGTCCAAAGGAAGACTACTCATGAGTGAATTTTCAGTCGAGTGATCTGAAAATTCAAATACATTATCCAGCTCATCATCATGACCCGCTTCATTCTCAGCATGGCTTGCTTGAGACGATACACCAGAATGTTCCAAAATTGGTTCCACTGCAGTAAGATGTGCGTAATGTCTTCGAGAAATGACCTCTAACGATGCTGATCGTGGAGATGATACCACGTGATGAGCATTATCATGTTTAACAACTGCAAATGGAAACACAAGTTCATCAAATTTAACATGCCTGCTAATAAAGATACGACCACTGGCTCCAAGATATTGAAAACCTCGATGCTGAGAGCTATAGCCCAGAAATGTACACTTTTGGGATCGAGGCATCAGTTTATGAGGTTGAAATTCTCGCAGATGAGAAAAACATCTACAACCAAAGACTCGCATGGTTGTGTAATCGGGTTTCTGTTTAAGTAATTTCTCAAAGGGAGAGATATTATTCAACACCTTAGTTGGCAGTCGATTTATCAAGTATGCTGCTATGGTTACTGCATAGGACATAATTTGATTGGAAGAGATGTATGTGTTAGCAACACTAGTGCCAACTCTATTAGGTGTCTATGCTTACACTCAACAACTCTGGTTTGCTCAGACGAGTGAGGACAAGTGACTCTATGCAAAACTTCTGCATGAGCTAACTCTTCTGTCCAGTTTCTATATTCACCACCCCAATCACTTTGTATAGCTCTGATTGGCAGTGAGAATTGAGTTTCAACCATGCATTTGAACAATCTGAAAGCAATTATAGCCTGTGACTTATTCTTCAACAAATATACCCACGTATGCCTAGTACAGGCATCTACGAAAGATATGTAATACTAAAAACCATCTGAGAGCTCAGGCGAGGGTCCCCAAAGATCTGTGAAAACCAGTTGAAATGGCTCATCATACACCATGGTTGAGTCAACAAACGGAAGCTTATGGCTTTTACCCAAACAATAAGCAACACACAACTGATTCGCATTATTTGGAATATCAACGGCAATTGAATTACAAACCAATTTCAAAGTTGAAAATGTTGGATGACCTAATCTCCTATGCCAAAGCTCAAACGAGTTACAATGATTATGAACTGCATAAGCTTTAGCATTATTACAAACACTCAGCTGACTATCCAAGGTAAACGAATAAAGTACCCCTTTCTGTCTTCCTCGAAGAAGTATATGGCATGTTACTTCATCTCGCACACAACAGGTATCAGCATGAAACTCGAAGAACACATGATTATCCTTAACAAGCTTTGACACGGAGAGAAGATGTTTAGTTATTTCAGGAACATGCAACAGATCAGTAAGTAGCAATGTTTGAGAAGACAATCGTAACACAGATCGACCTACTGATTGAACATTAAGAGAGGAACCATTTCCAACCACAAGATTACTTGGTCCATCAAGATCAGTGGGATGGTTGATATGAGCAGCATCTGAAGTGACATGATGTGACGCGCCCGACTCCACGATCCACTTAGCATGAGCTGATGCCACATTTGTAGAAGGAGCTGCAGCGCCTCGTGTAGCTACTGAACTAGTTCCTGACTTATTAACATAGTACGTACAAGCAACACTATCAAGATTAACATAGTTAACACTGCTCGAATCATCCTTAAATTGCGTTCGAGCATTAGTGGCAAGAATTCCAGCAAAGTCTCGGTTAAACCTGTACCAGCATCGATCAACCGAATGGCCAACTTTACCACATAACTGACATTGCAGTCGTGCTCGACCTCTACCACCAACTCGACCACCACGCACTGTTGATGACTGCTGCTTGAATTCATGAGAGTTTTCAGATCCAGTAGATCTACCAGGAATTTGTCTATGAGCGACATTAGCACTTATTGGAAAATTCTCAGGTTGTGAATCGAAGCTAGCTAATTGTGTCTCTGCATCAACCATCATAGAGTATATTTGATCAAGGGATAATGTTTCAGGGCTTGATGCAATGACAGTCATAAACGATTGATATTCTCTCGGCAAGCCTTTCAAAATGCTAACCACATGCTCCACCTGCGAAACCGGGCTGCCACATGATGCAAGAGCATCACAGATGTCTTTGATTCGAGTGAGGTACACACGCATGGAATCATCACCCTTCCTCAGTGATTGTAGTTTATAGTACAAGTTCATCACTGTAGTTGTGGATTTGTTAGCAAAGAACTGAACAACGGTGTTCCACACAGCTGCTGCAGTTTCAGCTCCAACAAACTGTGGCAGGAGGGGA